ACGCTCTGTAGGGCGAGTTTAAGCTGGCCCCATTCCCTGTAGGTGCTGAGGACTTTGAACTAGAGCACGTGCAGCAGTCTTGGAAGGTTGTGTGATAAGGCCTGGCATGGCGCTTGCAGTGAGTTTCAAGAACAGAAGATGCCCAGTGCTCCTTCGGCTGCTGTTGCTGTTCGTCAACATGGAGGCGACAATTGTCCTCCTTACACCGTTAACCAAAGTGGCCACCATCTATTGAACACCTGTTATGCATCAGATCCTGTCAGGTGTTACCATCCCTAACTCAATCCTCACAGCCTCCTGGAAGATAGATTTTGTTATCCCATTTTATAGACGAGGCTCAGAAAGGTTACATTTAGCAAATTTCTCTGGAACCATGGAATACTAGAAGATGAAAGTTTATCTATCTCAACCCTCTACATCACACACGAGGAAGAAAGAGTCTAAAGAGGTGAAATGACTTATCTAAGAAATGGAGAATATATGTTCACACTCCAAGCACAAAACATTGACTCCTAGGAGGAGATATATTATCAAGTATCAATTAGCAGATGGTGTCTGGCATATAAATATTTTATAATAATTGTATTTTTTAAACAGATATATCAATAAATTTAAATGTTGTAAGTTTATAAAATTTATTTATAATTTTATGAGTACACAAATTTTACAAAAATTATACAATTAATTTATAATTACTTTTATAGATTTAAACTTTAATATTTTTATAAATTTATAAAACAATAAAAATAACTTATTTTTTCTCATTATCAGAACAAACATACTTATTTTAACATACTTGGAAAATACAGAAAAAGCATAAAAGAAGAAAACAAACGTCACTCATAATCCCACAATTCAGTTAGTTCACTATTCTTTCCAATTTTAGAATACACACAAACACATGCAATTTAGATAATACTGCTTTGATTCCTGATTTCTTTCACTTATGATATTTTATATATTTTTTATATCATTAAAAATTCAGCAAAGCACCACCTTTGCCCTGTAAATAATTTAATCCTTCTAAAGTTGAATATTTAGGTTGTTTCTAATTTTATACTCTAATCAATAAATGCTGCAACAAACCCTTTTGGGCATAAATCTTTGAGTTTTAAATCATTTCCTTGGAAGGGGTTTCTAGAAACTGAGTTAAAAATTTTCTAGGATTTTAACAATACATATCAACAAGTTATAAGACTATCTTTAAGAATGTTTTCTATGCCCAAATCCTAAAGTTTTGAGAGAGATGTCAACACAGGCTTAATCTTCTGTATTACTGAGCAGTGTGATTCCCGTGTGAAGTCCATTCCATGATCCTACAATGGAGATTAATGGTATTTTTTCATCAAATGCCACTGTCTGGCGGTAGGTTTATGTGTCCTCTCTTGACAGCTAATGCTCTTACTTGGTTGTTTTGTGTAGACCCCTTTCTCGAGCTCATCCAGGGATGACTAATAGGGGGTATGGGGTGATTATTCCCCATGCTCAAGGACAGAGCAGACACCATCAGTCCTTTGGTTCCTAGCAAGATCCTGACAACTTCCNAAGTTATAAGACTATCTTTAAGAATGTTTTCTATGCCCAAATCCTAAAGTTTTGAGAGAGACGTCAACACAGGCTTAATCTTCTGTATTACTGAGCAGTGTGATTCCTGCGTGAAGTCCATTCCATGATCCTACAATGGAGATTAATGGTATTTTTTCATCAAATGCCACTGTCTGGTGGTAGGTTTATGTGTCCTCTCTTGACAGCTAATGCTCTTACTTGGTTGTTTTGTGTAGGCCCCTTTCTCGAGCTCATCCAGGGATGACTAATAGGGGGTATGGGGTGATTATTCCCCAAGCTCAAGGACAGAGCAGACACCATCAGTCCTTTGGTTCCTAGCAAGATCCTGACAACTTCCCAAGAGGTCTGAGTTGACATGAAGATGAGACCTACTGCCATCCCTGAGCTAATGTTACATAAACTGTAGACCTTGTTAACCTAGTATCATTGGGAAATGTAGTTCAGCTGCTCAGTTATGGGCATCTCTTATGTGAAGGGCAGAGATGCTTTCTCTTGTCTGATTGCCCATGGGAGGGCATGTTCTACTTTGCAAAGTATGGTCATTCTTGGTATTAGTTATAGACTCCAAAACATAGATTATGATATCTCAGGAGAATGGAAAAGTAAAGGTTGGTCTGTGTCTGTCTTTCATTTTCTTGTTTTTAGACCCTTGATAGTAAAGTGTGGTGTGTAGACGGCAGCACTGGCAACACTTGGAAGTTTGGGAGAAACCGAATCATAGGCCCCACTGAAAACTACTGAAACAGATTCCAAATTTTAACAAGATTCCCAGGTGCACATTAGTGTTTGAGAACCACTAGTTTAGATTTCAAAGATGCTAAAAATCTTTGGGAGTGTTCGCAGATTATGGCAGCAAAGGATGGGCTCTTTTGCCCGTCTTCTGCATGGAAGCAGGTCCTGGGCTGGCCTGGGAGGTGGCCCCATAGCACGAGGAGGCAAGACATACTTTAACAGAATATCTAGTTGCATGCTAATCTTTTTTTCTCCCTGAACTTTAAAAAAGTATTCTATAAACAGTTCAATTTAGATTCAGCTGGATTTGAAAGGTATGTTAAGGGAGAGGCATTTGTCCCTGTTAGATCAAGAGAGTAAAGGGGAGCTGTGTCTTTCTTTTGAGGTGATGGCAGCTGTAGAAGTCTGTCAGAAACTCCACTCTTCACTTCCCCCTCCTCCCCCCAAAAATTGAATCTCAGAAGACAAGAGTTGTAATTCTGTTGGGGTCCATTCTTCCAACCTTTCCAAATCATGGAGAGTCTGGATATTTCCTTTAGAAAAGGTGGCAATTTAGAGGAATCACAGCTGATAGGTAATGGAGCCTGTATTTCTAACTCCAGTTTCTGTGCTTTCTCTATTCCAGGCTTTCCTTTGGGAAATATTACACTACCCAAGCAGTCTCTTCAAATTACTCTCAGTCTAGGTTCTCTTTCAGTAGAGAAGCTGCCTTTGCAGTGGGGGTGGGGACTTTCAGATGTATTTCTGACTAGGAGTCAAATACGTCGACTCTTTGGGTTAAGACAGCCTTGGGTTACTTAAGATTTCAGGAAGTTATCCCTTTTGAATGGGCTGACCACAGAGTCCAGAGCAGCAGATTTGAGTGACCAGACCTTAGAGGTCAGAGGTGTGTCCTTTCCTGACTACCCGCTTCCATTCTGCGCCCTCCGCTCCCACCTTTCCCACAGGGCCCAGAGCCTTTCTTACCTTGGCAGCTCTTGGATACACCAGAGTCTGGTAGATGACAATTGGGCCTGGGGTCTTCACAGAGGCGTCGTTGAAGGAGTACCAGTTGTGACAGCTGCTGCTGTTCTGCGTGGGCTGGCCCTCCGCTGCGGTGCTCCAGTAGGTGTACAGGCCATCTGCGGGTTTGGCGGGTGCGGCCGACTGGGCTCTCCCACAGGCCTCCAGACCCACCTTGGCCTTCTCGCCGGTGGTGTTGAAGGACAGCAACGAGGAGCTTCGCTGGTATATCTGCTGGTTGCCAAAGCTGTGGGTGCTGAAAGTGACCTTCCTGGCAATCATCATTTCTGAGTGCACGGGATAGGGGGAGGGCAGCGAGTCCCCGGAGGAGCACACCTTCTTGGGTCCCATGGGGAAGAGCTCATGAATGGCCTTGGAGAGCTCAATGAAGTCCAAGGGCATGCAGTGCAAAGAGTGCAGCCGCAGCTGCGGGTCAGGCCGGTAGGTGCTCTGGATGCCGTCCTCGATCTGGTCCACGAGGATCTTGGCAGACTGCAGGAATGCCACTTGGCCCGTTTCCTTCAGGGCTTCCTTGGAGTAGGCAATCAGGCCGTCCATTTCGTTCACTTTCAAGGTTGTGATGGACACATATTTTTCAATCTCCTTCTGCCTGGACACTTCTAGATTTTCTATTTGCTCCATGATGGTTTTCTCTTTCTCTTGAAGAATGTTGCGCAACTTCAGAAATCCATTTCTGATCTCTTTTCGCTTGGCCTCCTTGTCTGCCTTAAAGCTGCTTTTTAAAATGTTGAATTCCATTAGGTCATTATCAATCTCATATCGGACTGCAAAACAACCAAATTAGTTACTGTTAAAATGCTTATCTCCCCAGATATCCAAGCCAGTAGCAAACTGGAGCAAATTACCTGGGGCTTCGAGGAAGCGAGTGAAGAGGGAGGGAAGGCAGTTGTGTCTGGACTGAAACAGGCTAGAACAGTTTGTGAAATGAATGTGCCTCCCTCAGGACACTCCTCCCTTCCGCCTTCTCTAATACTTCACTCAGGTATAACCAGCCATCCTTCCCTGGCAAAGTCTATCTGTGACAGTGGCCTTGGCTCTGAGGTTGGAAGTTCAAGGCCACCCTCGATGTTGGTTTTCACCAAACTTCACTTGTCTGCAAGTCAGACTTCAGGAGAGATGAAGTCACACATTGACTGGCCGCTGCTTTTCCTTGTAGGAAAGCTAAGCTTTTGCAGTGGTAGGAGAAAGAACTAAATTTCTGATGACTACTTCTAAATGCTGCCTTCCTCATTTACCAAGAATTCAGCCCTAGACAACGGTGGGAATTCAGCAAAATTTTCCTTCATTGAGGAGACTCTTTCACATGCCCTTTTTACCCCACTGGGGGTCTTTGTCTCTCTCGTGGTTCAACTATGTGGCCTCTCCAGCCTTTCTACCACTCCCATTCGAGAAAGGGTTGCTGTCACACTTCAGGGAGAACCAATTCCTCCTGCCTCTTCTCACATGGTATTTGGATTTTAAGTGCACTCAGTCAGTCATTCAAGAAACATTTACTGGACCCGTTACATGCTGCATCCCTTTCTAGGCACCAGAGACACAGGTATGAATACGAGAGGGCACCTGTGCTCAAGGCACTCGTAAACCCAACAACACTACAGTTGGAAGATGCTATGGCAGGGCAAGCACGTGGCACATCTCTATTTGTGAAGCGAACACCTTAGTTGGCTTTAAAGGGTTTTAGGCATTAGGCAGCAAGTTGAAGAATGTCAGCTTTCTGTGCTCTATGCTATAGTTAAGGTCCTCCCCATGAAAAGCTGACTCTTATGAATTGATGGGCTATAACCTCACCTAATTTTACTCAGAAGCGGGGGTGACCAAACGTTTTTTTCACTTGGTTCTCAACATCACCCTGGGTCCACAGGAAGCTGAGCTTCTGTGGGTGCGGCCATTGAAACAATGATGTGCATCTAAGTGAGAGGAACAGGAGAGGTCCCTAGACCATGAGAACAGGGACAATGGCTGCCATGGTTACACACCCTAGTCATAGTGGTAGAGGTGATCAGAAGGTGTTTGTCGAGTGAAAACCATTATTTCTAACATCTCTGGGGTGAATGTCGTCAGTGTCACTCTCTTGCCTACTCCCTCAAGCCCCTGTTTCCTCTGCCCACCTCCTTCCTCACACTGGCTCAGAAGGGATGAGGGGGGGAGAAGCTACTAGGGTGAGGT